AAGGAATTATACAATAAAGATCTAACAATATCCTTTCAAACTTTACTAATAATTCTCAAATATCTACTATAAACTAAAGATTTATACAACAAAATTCTAAAAATACCTTTTCAAATTTTACTACTTCAAAAAATATCCCACTAATTCTCAAATATCTACTATAAACTAAACTAAAAAAAAAATATGAGATGAGGAATTGAACTTACTTATGAATTTGAAATGAAACAATAAATGGTTGATTCAAAGCAAAAAAAAAATTACTTTCTAAGATCTAAGAGAGTTCTCTCTTCTCTTTTTTTTTTGGGAATAAATGATTGTTTTTGTAATTTTTTACAATTGTGAATGATCATATATATATATATATATATATATATATATATATTTGAAAAGTACAAAGAAACACAAGTTTAACCAATGAGAAGAAAGTACTCGGATCCAACTAGTTAAAAAAGCACACTTTGGTCTAAAGCACATTTTGGTCTGCTTTTTACTATTGGTATGGAGCTTGTAAGGAGTAAACTGAAAAAATTAATAGAATTGACACGGTATGGAGTTTTCTGCATATTAGTATGGAGTTTATTAGTTCGGAGTGTTGCATACTAGTCCGACTTGTTGAATGGTAAATTAAGTGTGGACTAGTGCGACTTTAATCCGGTCCGCACCATATTTCTTTAAATACTTCAAAATCTAAAGAAATATGAATTTTGTAGTTTTTATAAATTTGATACATAAATTCGATGAATAAACATAATTATATGTATATTATATAATTTTCTATGGAATTTAACATGATTATGTTACATTATGTTCCAAACTAATCCATGTATAACGATTAGTAGAATCAATAACTCTTAAAAAAAGAAAAGTATAATTAAAAAAATAGAATTAAAACAAATAATCTTTTTTAGTAACAAGAAGCATCCAACTCAATAGAAGTCATCCCGTAGAATCTGACTCAGCAAAAACTCAACATGTGGCATTTGACTTGGCATAAACTAAACGGTTTGAGTATCATAATCCAATATGCATCAGTGGCCATATATTTTATCCAACTGTCCAAATGGTCAGTGCCAGGATTTCTATGGTAATTGATTTCGATGTGAACTCTAAGAAGTTCACATCTATCAAGTATTTCGACAGTACACTTTCGATGACACAATGGGAGAACACATACAAGGACATGTCAACTCTATTCAACGTCAATGGGAAGTTGGGTTCTCATGTAACTCTCGACCATATGAAGAGTTTTGAAATCTAGCTTTTAGATGACTCCACAAAACATAGATGGTCTAGACAGTTTCACCAGTTTCCAGATATTGGTTTGGATTGTAATCATGATATTATGCGATTTGCTGGAAGGCTCACAGAAATGAAGTCGTATGGTTACTGGTTACTTTTCTTAACGGGTCTCTCTCAGTGTTGTTTTATAATATAGAGAGAAAGAACATGAACAAAATACTTTTCAGATCTTCGTCATTATTCGAAGGTAATAGGTTTCTTACATCTATAAACCATATTGAGTGCGTGAGAAATAATAAAATTCAATAAATTTAATTCATTTATTATATTGGTTCCGATAGCATAAAGGTAAGAATATTTTTACATTAAGATTGGATTTAAATGACAAAAACTATTTCGAATAATAAAAATGAATTCGTTAGCCAAGTATTTTCAATTTTTCATGCACATCATCGGCACGGACACGAGACACCTTGAAGAAGATCCGGAAAAACCAAAGGTTATAAAATTGAACTTAAGAATTTCATCAAATAGTAAAAAACAATTTTTTTTACAAAAATCCTAACCTTTTATGAGCAGCTTTGGGTTTGGAGTTTTTGGCAGATGCGTAAAGTATAGGTGACCAAACATATTTTATGGAGTTGTAAGACTTGGTGACCAAGCATATTTTATAGAGTTTTATGAAGATTCTCTCTTATCACCGACAAAAGGTACATGTTTGTACAAACACAAATTAAAATAAAATATTTGCATGATTGAGATTACACAACCTAATTTGTTTGCTAGGTATGTTTTAGACCTATAAACAGTTTACACAACCTAATTTATTGGTTATGTAGCGACCCTGAACCGTACTAGACATAAGTCCGGATAGGCCCGTATAGGTGACAAGTACTTCGTACGAGCGGACCAAAGTTTTAGCACAAAACTAGTGCCCCAGTCTACCAATACTTAGTATTGTCCTTTCCAAACCCGATATTAGGCTTGCCAACCCTTTACTGAGAAAGGAAATGCGGTTCGGATAGGACCTTATATCATCAAACCATCCCCATTTTTATGAAAACCTTTTTATACTTAGTATAACTTTTACACAACAAGATACCAAACAATCATATAAGGTTCTCGGGGATCCCATTTCAACAATACATAATACACAATAATATCCTCTATACTTCTCCCCAACCAATCTACACCAAAAACCTATTGTCCCAACCATCTATGGTTTATCCCTCTAACGTTACCTGCAACAAAAAGGTGGAATCATAAAAACTAGATACTTAGCTAGTCCGACGTCTTAACTCAGAAATTAAATACCCCAAAACCCCAACAGTAAAATAAACAAGCAAGCAAGCAATAACCCGCAATAATAATCAACAAGCAAACAACAATCAATGACATGCGATTACGACAATCAAATAAATCAGAGATGCAACGATTATGCAATAACTATGATGGATGAAAGGGTAAATGATAACAACAATAACAAATCCTGTGGCCATGTGAACGATTCTTCCCATCGAACAAGTTAACTGTCCGTTTAAAGCCACGAAGTCTATAAACGATGTACCACATGTGCCTTCCACGATGAGCAATCCCCGTTACCTCGTCAGGCAAGAGCTTCTCGGTGATCAGCAATCACTTTACCGGAAAGAGCTCTCTCACGAACTCTCTTCGTTTTTGTGAATGCCCTTATACCTTGAAGCCTTGGTATTTATAGGAATAGGGAAGGAGGGGTGGCGTATGGCGGACATATGTCGCGCTTCCGACAACACTTGGCGGAGTTGACTCTATCCCCGTCAAATTGCTCCCAACAAATGGCGAAGCATCCCATACGCCCATCACATCCGTCGCGACACTTGGCGGAGCACTCCAACCCTTGTCACGTTGATCGCGACAAATGGCAAAGGCCTTAGACCCTTGTCAAATCGTTTGCAACAAATGCCGGTAAATTGAAACTCTCGTCAAATCGTTTGCGATAAATGGCGGAAAATTGAAACCTTCGTCAAATCGTTTGCGACAAATGGTGGTAAAGTTAAACTATCGTCAAATCGTTTGTGACAAATGGCGGTAAACTTAAACCCTTTATCAAATCGGTTCTCCCGATCGGCGGAGAGCTTCCACCCTTCTCACATCGTTTACGACAAATGGCGGAGCAACCATACCTTCATCACCTCGGTTTTCCCTATTGGTGGAGAGTTTCCATCCATGTCGCGTCGCTTACGATAAATGTTGGCAAATCTCTTCTAACGACGACTACACAAAAGACATATCCCCAAAATCAGAAGATCTTGTCTACAATATCTTTCTCGAGATTTGTGCCCTCAAAAATTAATCTCTTCCATCTGTTTATTTTTCTTAACTCCGTTCGCTCAACATGACACGGTTTACGCTTGGTCCGATCCTTCAACGTTACCCGATCGCGACCGAAAACTATTTTCGTCAAGTAAATAATTTTTCACTCAATATTCTTCATAAACCTTAACGATCATAAGTCCTTTCTCTATTCTTTACGACCTCCTTTAATTTCTAAAATTTTCGAACACGGCGCAATGTTCACCGGTCGATAAACGACATGCTTTTCTCATACCAAAACCATCCATTCTTCATAACTATTATTTTTTCTTGATGATTAAGCTTTCTTTTATGCTTCCGCTCACCACTAACGAAAGCCGTTCTCTTCTTCTTAATTTCAAAATTTTGGTTTGGACCGCGACTTCACGATCGTCCGTTCCGACCGTTTTTATGTCAAAATACGGATTATTACATTCATCCCCTCTCATTGGAATTCGTCCCGAATTCTCAATCAGAGAAATCGTCAACGTTCCTAACTTTAAGAAGAACTTCCTCTTTTCAAACTCTTCAACATTGAGCTTCTTGGTTATTCCAATCCTTTAAACCTTTTCAGCTTAATCAAATCGGATTTCTACCCCTTTTTGCAAAGCTTTCGGTTTTGGATTCTCTCTAATCCTCCCGATTTCCATAAACTAATTCATAGAACTCGCCATTCTAAAATCAAACGAATTTCTCAAGCACTTTTAACTCTTTATCTCGTGAATTTCAAAAATTTATACAAGGCTTTTCTTCTTCTCTTCCTTGTATGAATCTTCAACTCAAATGCCCATCATTATTACCTCCGTGTACCGATCATAAACTCATGATCATTCACACACTCAAGTTTAAATATCTCGTAGATTCAACATTTGGATCTATACTCTTTCTCAAAGTTAGACACTTCTCTAATTGAACAGAACATCAACACACTAAGGTAACCTGTGATCCTTTCACTTGATCTGGTTCCTTTCTTTTTCTTTACACCATTTCATATTTGATCGTTTAATCTCAAGAATTTTGTCACTTGAGACTTAAACATCACAATACCACTATAGTTATCTCACATAGATAAACTAAAATTCTTACGAACACTTCAAATATTCACATATTTTTGAAAGTTTTCTTTACAACACTCATCTTTTTCCATAGATGATCAATTACACATCACAACACAAAATTTCCTTTTGTACTTCCATGTACATTCATACATCACAACATTTTTCCGCATCACATCAACACATTTTTTCCGTTTCACATCACAACACACAAAGTTATCCATCAATAAGACTTTGTCCAATCCTTAAACCTATCTTACATTCATATGATACATTCGTTCTTACAACGGTGGGTTTACAAATACCCATTCAAACTTTTTTACAATTGCGGATTTATAACCACTACACACTTGCTCCCATACTCTTCGCCAAAGCGATTACAAGCCAAATATATTACAATCCTAAATGCAATACAAGAATAAAATGCAACACAGAATCATACAATGAGTTAGAACCCTTACTTACCTCGCCGGAATCCAACTGTTTGAAGGTTTAGAGTAATCCTAGTTAATACTAAGGTTTTTCTTCTTCTTCGCGGACGTACTCGGGCTTGGGTTTGACGAACTGGGATTCTCAGGACGCTTCTTTGGACACACAGTCACATAGTGACCTTAATCACCACACGCATAACAGATCACGTACGGACGAGCATAAGAATGATAATGATGATCATAAGGACAAGCTCTCGGGTAGTGACCATCTTGGCCACAAGTGAAGTAGAACGGCGTTACACTATAAGAACGTCCATCTTCACGCTCCATCTTAGTCACAACGGTTCCATCCGCGGATCTCTTCATACCTTCATTCCAAACAGGCATACCTTTGGATGGTTGGATCGGTTCAATACCAAGGGTACCCGCATCAATCATGTTCTCAATCATTGTAGCCATGGAACTGGATCCCAAAGTCACCGGCACAAAAAGCGACTCATCCGGGGGAAATAACATTCCCGACTCCTCAACAGGTGGCGGAGTTTCCGGTATAGTCTCACACTCAAACATCGGATCCGGCACTTCTTCATCCACTTCTTCATTATCAAAACTCATATGGAACATCTCATTGTTAGCTCTTTCATACCCATCATACCAAGTCCTACTCGCAAATCTCCTTAGCGAAATAGACATTCTCGGCGTCTCGCTCTTCACATAGTTGGAAATTGGCACTCCATTACCCAACTAATCTGCATCGGATAGCTTACTATCTGACGAGATCTCAACAAAATTCGGAGTTGGCGGACTAGGTGGTGTAGCAAATTCGACATTAGGCGACATCATGTTGTAAGCCAACGCTTGCTTAGGAATCCCATATTCTGTCGGCATAAACACAACACAGTCAGAATCGTGCGAGGCATTTACCTTCCAAAGATGCATAAGAAATACTAAGGTCTGTCCCCAAGGACATTGAGCTGAACGAATCCAATGTTAACAAGCTATCCAACATCGGAGGATAATAGTAGGGATTCGCGTGAACTCCTGGCTACCATGAATCATCAGAGTTAAACTCATACAGAACTCCATCCGGGCTTTCCCACATAGGCACATCAATATCACTATCTCCATAGAGATATCTAGTTGTCGCCATCTGCTCTTCAGGCTCGTCCAAAGAATCATCATTAGAATCATCAGAAAGCACAACAAAATCAGTGATTAGAACATTCCCGAAATTTCCTCCAAAAGCAACCAAAGGCACGGCTTCGTCAGACTCTGCACCAGTCTCGACATCGTCATCATCAAACTCATCAAGATCTTCCGACGGGTCAGTCTCGACGGAACTCTCCGATCCTTCCATCTCCCTCGTAGGATGGGATTCAGCCGAGGTCACTGAGGGACTCAAAGCCATGAAAGTCTCCGATTCAGACCCCTCCAACATTCGCCTCACATGTTCCGACGGAATCATAAAATCGTCAGAATTAACATCGTTATCCCCGTATGGATTGTTACTCGGTCCAGCACTCGAAGAAAATCCCCACGGTCGTCCACCCCGAAGCCTAGTATGTCACTACAGCATCTTCATCACGAAAACAAGGTTAGTCCTAACATTTCCATCTACTTAAATCCCACGTTGGAACAATTTGGTTTATCCTATGGTTGAAGTGCGACTCTAATTTTTGACTCGATAAAATATTTGAAAAGCGGGATGTTCTCGAGCATTTGTAACCTTGCTCTGATACCATCTAAAATTGTAGCGACCATGAACCGTACTAGACATAAATCCGGCTAGGCCCATACAAGTGACAAGTACTTCGTACGAGGAGACCGGAGTTTTAGCACAAAACTAGCGCCCCAGTCTACTAATACTTAGTATTGTGTCTTCCAAACTCGATATTAGGCTTGCCAACCCTTTACCGAGAAAAGAAGTTATGCGGTTTGGACAGAACCTTATATCATCAAACCATCCCCATTTTTATGAAAACATTTTTATACTTAGTATAACTTTTAAACAACAAGATACCAAACAATCATAAAGTTTTCGGGGATCTCATTTCAACAATACATAATACACAATAATATCCTTTATACTTCTACCAAACCAATCTACACCAATACCCTATTGTCCCAAAGAACCCTCTATGGTTTATCCCTCTAAGGTTACCTGCAACAAAAAGGTGGAATCATAAAAACTAGATACTTAGAGAGTTCGACGCCTTAACTCGGAAATTAAACACCCCAAAGCCCCAACAGTAAAATAAACAAGCAAGCAAGCAATAACACACAATAACCAACAACAAGCAAATAACAATTAATGACATGCGATTACGGCAATCAAATAAATCAGAGATACATCGATTATGCAATAACTATGATGCATACAAGGATAAATGATAACAACAATAACAAATCCTATGGCCATGTGAACGATCCTTCCCATCGAACAAGCTATGGAGTATCCATGTCCAATACCTTATCCACTAGCTTATCCCATACCACTTGGCTCAATTAGCTAGCCGGATCTTCATACACACAAGATACAAAGAATGTCAGAGATCCAAGTTTAGCTATGATATCAATATGTGATCCGCATTGATCACTTCCACTTCATTCAATGCTTTCCAGAATAATGCTAACCCACCGCTTAAATCCACCAGATCAACGGTATGAGCATGATCATATCCCATCCAACGCTGCACTTTCAACACGTGATTACTGAAGTTTTTGGTCTCCATAAGGAATATAAAGTCCGGGAAATGTTCACGACGTATTTCCTTCAAAGTGGGAATTGTCAAGATCCCCTCCCCCCCCCCCCCCCCCCCCCCAAGCCTTGACAGTTTAAGCTCATAAAACTCATATTTGTTTCGGCGGGTCCTCATTCGGAACCACCTTCTCTTCATTTCGCTTAGCGAGTTTCGATGATAGTTCAGCTTCATCGATAGCTTTTCTCTTTGTTGATAGCCCTTCCTCCTCTAGCTGAACTTGTTGCATTTGACTTGTGCATGTACCTTCTTTCAGAGACATAGCCTTCTTCTGCCACTGGTTGGGTCATCTACACTTCTTAACATTTTTGTTTTTAGTCCTGGTTGAACCCGCTGAGAAGCCAGGTTTGAATACTGTAGTACCATAGTCATGTTGTGCCGCATAAGCAAACATACCTAAGTGAGACTATAATGATTGAGAAAAACGAGTTCATGTTTTCACAGATCGAGCAGCCTCATTTTAAGGTTGTTTCCCAGCCACTGGATTTAAACCTGATTTATCAAAATAAAAAACCAGTCCCTTTCCCTTGTTCATGTCTGTTGTAAATTCTGCTGGAGCTTCTAGACAAAGCAGAGTCTTTTGACCATGTAGATCTCCATCCAAATCTCAAACAGAACGTCGAACTCTCTCCATTCGTACCTTCCTTTCTTGTGGATCAATCACAAATAGATACTGACACATCTCATCCAAAACTGCCTTTGCGATCTTAGGTTTCTCATAAATAGAGTCAATCCCCACATCATCGTCCGTTAAAACCCCAAACAGGGGATCATCTTTACTATTTTTTGGGATAAGACGATTTGGGATGCTTGTCGCCTTAACTCCTCCTGTAGTAATCGCTTGCCGGCGTGAGGTGTTAAGAGGACAACAGTCTTTATCATGTGTGAGGCGTCGACATTGGTATCAGCGTTTCTGTATCCTCTCATACTTAATGCCAATGTCAACCATCTCTCCGGTTGGAGTTTGAAGTACCCTGGTATTCTTCAAAGGTATGTTGATGTCGAAAAGCACGCTTACCCTTACAAAACCTTGACTGTGTGGCTTCAGTGGATCAAAAGTCACATGTGTAACTTGTCCAATATGCTCAGTGATCTCTTTGATAGTATACAATGTCATGTTGTTCACCGGTATGTTACGGAGATTGATCCAGATCGGAAGAACTTTCAAATAATCCGTCGGTGGTTTTTCCACCCATCTTTCCATAGTCATACTTCAATCATTGAAGGGCCAAGCACCAAAACCATCGAAATATCCGCTTCCGAGTCAAAAAGAAATTGGAACTTATCATTAGGCAGAGCAATTCCCCTTTGCTCTGTTGTTTACTCGCCAAATCCTCGGCATCTCATGAACTTTTACTCGCCATGTTCTGGTTCTCCGGACATAAGAGCCGTCCGATTATACTACAACCATTACGAACATAGGAGCTGAACTTCGGGTGATTCTACAACACAATTGGTTTATCCTCTTCCAACGCCGCCATCACTTGTAGAGGTTTATCAAGCGCATACTCCATCTCTTTTAATCAAAAAAGCAAACATCTCCGCACAAGCACTATCAAGAAACTAGGTTAAAAAAGTTACATAAATCTCCAATATTTTGAAAAATTACTACAAATAAGAAAATAAATAATTGCTCAAATCCGGCGAAAAAATGAAATATTATCGGAAAACAAAGCTTTTCAATAGAGTTGAAACCCTCTAATTGAAAAAAAGTACCTAAGCCCCAACTTGCCCCCCCCCCCCCCCCCCCCCCCCCCCCCACTACAATTTTGTATTTATTTTCTTCTTTCTTTTTGCCATTTCTATTATTTATTAAATAAAATTAAATCAGCAAAAAATTAAAAAAATAGATAAATCTGTCGTAATAAGCTTAACCCAAATTTTCTGAAACAAATTTTTCATAACCTAAAATACTAAGCCACGAAATTTAAGCCTTTCGTAAAGTGATATTGAAGCTTTAATTGGAATCTGTCAGTCAAAATCTGTAAGAATTGACAAAAACTTATACTTCAAAAATCGGCCACTACATGTCAATAATAAATTTGTCATCGTTGGATTCAAAATACAGGTCTTTCATAACATTAAACAAGTCTATTGTCACTATAAAGTTCACTAGAGTAATTTTTTAATTTCATTATCAAATCGGCTATCAAACGCCATATTTTTGGTAATCTTAAATAAATCTGTCAATACAAAAATTAAATATATCATAAGATAAAACATATATGTTCAGCCTATAGGTCAATCTAGCAAAAACAAAACTCTATAAAAATTCTTTTATTAAAGGCCATATTTTTGTTAATATTAAACAAATCGGTCATTACCTAAACTAAATCTGTTACCTAAACAAATATGTCATTACCTAAACATCTGGTAATCCTCTTTGAACTCTAGATCGTCAGGATCTGGTAGAACTCTTACCGAGATCTTCATGTTAAGAATTTTTGGCTTTGTTAACTTATGTCAGAAGTTTCCATTTAAATATTATTAATACACGAATGTTGTCTTTCTGTGTATTGTTTTGTCAACAGCTGGTGGCAAATAAAATCCAGGAGATGCATTCTTCTAGCAGTCTAAACTTTTGGGGCTTTGCTATATCCAAGAAAATCTCCATCCTCTTGTGGAAATCTGAACCACTCTCCTTGCATCTAAAGGATCCAGAACACTCACACTGCTCTGTCAAATGAGCGGCTTTCACCTGATTGCACCTATCGCACACTAGATCCTGCAACTGGTACATTCTCTCCCTCTGTCTCACCATCTGGACAAGGCTATTCTCTATCTGCTCTTTGTCATATATCTTCCCACATTGCGGATCCGCACATGACCATTCTTTCTCTGTTAAGAGAGCTGGGTCTAGGTCTCTGTAGGCACCGCAGTTGCTGCAACGAGAAAAGAAAGAAAAATTAACACTAAGCAATCACAGCTGTCTTACTGGTTACTCCTGCAAGAGAGTCAAGTATTTGAAACACAATAGGTATGCCTTAGAGAGAATAAAAAAAAAGGTACAAGTACATTATTGTCTGGGATTCAGTGGTGTCTAGAGGTTTTTCTATTCTTTTCTTGTTACACTACGATCACAGAAAGGGGTGTGCAAGGATATCTCTACTCTCTAAAGCATGGGATTTTTGTTTTTCTAATAAGCTAGTGGCCCGAAGAAAATTGGACTTCAGAAAGCTATTTATCTATTAAATAGATGTAGCAAATACAATGCATACAGCTCAATCACGGGAATTGAGTATTTCTTTTGGTCAAGTAATAGATACCTGCAAGCCACGTTAGGTAAGATGAAGGATGGCCCAGGATCAATAAATCCGGCTTCAGCAGCACATTCTTTTACGTTAATGTACTTCAACAGACTCTTTCTCATTACCTACACAGAAGAACAAGATTTCCAAAAGTTTAGGTTAATATGGTGAATGAAATCAGATACAGAGAGGCTTTCAGAACATAAAGATAAACAACGTTTCAATGGGACTTTTTCTAAGAAAAAAAGAACTGTGAGAGATTTATTTAGACTTCATAGCAACTGTGAATCCTTATGGTTATCCAACTGAACCAGCATCAGGTAAAGATGGAGAATATACCAGAACATCTTGCTGAACGTTTTGATCAAGAGCCAGAACAGCAGTAATAATTTGTATAAATTCGAACGTGTTATCTCCTTTGGGAGCTTGACCAGAAACCCAAGATGCATCTGACATGTTTATCTCCTTCATGTGTGACCTGATATTACCAATCTTCTCGACAAGCATGCTTATGAACCGGGTTCCTATCTGCATAAAGTGAAATATATATGAGACAAATTTTTTGAGTGATTGAAACATAACCAAGTAAACTGACTTTAAGGCTACCTGTTCCTTGAGATATTCTACCATTTCTGCCTCTAAACTCTCTGCACTGCCCCTTTTTTTCTCTAATGAAAATTTCCAGGGGCCAAATATAAACGTGGCAACAATTATGATGAAATCCTTCTGCCAAGATAGATGAGATGCATGAGCGTTCAAGATGAAATGGTCCACGCCACTTAGCTTAATAATGAACATTAGGGATCATTCTGTCTGCAAACCTGAATATACTCGGGTAAATGCCGTGCAACGCTCCACTTTGGTTCGATAGTCACTTCGTCACTAGAAATTTCATCTCCGGTAGCTCGGATACCAGCGTAGTTATGCTACAATGTTAAGAAAAATATTATGAAAAAGGTAACACAAGAACTTATGAAGGAAGAGGAAGATGGACAATTAGTAGAGTTCCTTGCAAGGTGCAACTTTGTTTTCTAACCATCCAGGTGAAAAGATTTTACTTCTCAGTTGTAGTTCATTTAACCATGTAGTTGAAAAGATAATACAAGAGGAAGTATAAGACATAAGAACTCCAACCTGGTCCATGAAAAGTAACGAGTGCCAGTAGTGAACCGGCTCAAGCAAGATCAACTCAAAGATATCTCTGCCGGTGGCAAAGCATAAGAACCAATGACATGAAAATGAGTACAGTCCATTAGAGATTTAGTCATAGAAGTATATACTGGGGAATGAAGAAAACCAACCTACTCCCCATCACTGTGAGCAAGCTTTCACAATAAGCCTTAGCAGCAGATAGATCAAATTTCCCTGTGTCGATAACTACCTTTGAGAAGTCTGCGTATATTATTACAGCACCTAACCTCCGCAAATCAGTCAAAAGCAGCGCAAACACCTTTTGCATGACCTACAATATTGAGAAAAACTGCAATATGTCAAATGGATTAAGAAATCTTGAATGCAAAAGACGTGGATGTAAATCACAAATCTCAAGATCTTAAGGCTGATTTGGGGATTATAAGTTATGACAGGGATACTGAAGCAAGGAGATATAACTTGTAAGCTACAGATTCGACTAAATGAGTTGACAGAGAAAGATTCAGACAAAGAAGCAAGGAGGAATTAAATATAAATTTTGTTGAATTACCCGCACCAACCCATTTATACCAATTAAAAGCACAAAACATTAAATGTCATTTACCTTGTGAAGCATGAGATGGAGAGCTGGATCGTGAAGCTTCGAGGAAGGGCTACGTACAATATGAAATTACTGATTGGTATCTAACAACTCAAGAATAAATTGAATATGTAGTAGCAGGATGTGACATAATGATACCTGCAGAGCCACCAAGACAGATGTTGCAAAATGGAATCAGCATATATATTGCCAGAATTACACGCATCATCCAAGCAACGCTTGATCAATTGTTTAAGGACACGAAATGCTTGAGCACATCCATTATTCTCATCAAAACTGCCATTATCGTTTAAACTACTTCCTCTAGAATTCACACCCTGTTCAAATCCCAAAAAGCCGCTTCCTTCCATTTCACTCACCAGGTCACTTTTCAGAAGGGCATTAACAGCTAATCTATGGACCTGCATGATGCATGTTATTTAGGATAAAATTCCAAAAAGCACGATGATTAAGGAAAAAAGGTTATATGACCTTTAACTCCACAGACACTTTTCTGTACGCTCCAGGGAATACCAAACTTGTCTGTTGTACCTGTGACAGAGAAAAGAAAAATCCACAAACCAAAAAGAGAAAAAAAATCCACATAAACCAAAATGCAAAAAATACAAACAATTTGATGACATACCTCATCAGCTAGAAATGGCTCTTCATTGTTTATATCTCCAAGGTCTGGAACACCATTATCTGACACCCAAAGGACCTGTAATACAATACCAAATTCAATGATACGGAAAAAAATCAGTGATACTGTAGAGGCACAGATCAAGAGCATAAAAAGGAAGACAAGTATTGTATTAGTGGAACTCTTATGGAAAATTATCTGGACCGAAAGTCGAAGAAAGAACCTGTTGCTGGTCAAGGAGTGCCCTGGACAGGAAGATATCTAGTGTGAATGTTAACCAATCACGTCCAAAATTCCCCAGAGGCACCTAGTCAGATGTTTAGATAATATCAATAACTGCATTAAAACACTAATATGAAGAACTACATTTCCACTTTACAAACCGTAACCTACATGGGCGTATCTTGACTGAGCAATCCTCCGATCCAACCACTGAAATGCTGAAGCACAACGGAACACTGCTATTTTTGCTGCTGGACGTTGCCAGGAGACAGGCTATATGCATCACAACCACATCCAACACGTACATATTTAGCATTACTTGGTCAAATTAAAGTTCATCATAACATAAGAAATGAAGCCGATTGGTGGATCAGATAAGGAACCTGATAACTATTGTCATCATCGTTGAAGGGAATCCTCACACATGGGAAATCATCCAGGGCCTTTATACCTTCCTTCATGGTGTTAAAGTCAGGGCATTCAATGACTGCCACAGTTGGTCCACAATTTTCTTCTCTGCAGGAAAAGGTAACAATGGGAAAAATTCAAACCAGAGTGTGTGATGACCTGACCGACATGAGCGTCTTAGAGAAGTCCAAAATCCGTCATTGTCACACTCTTTTTGTTTTTTTTGACAATTAACTTGCAGAATTTTTCTAATTAAGAAGCTTTATGAAGAAGAACTAGATCATGCAGGAACAAATTACAATAGGAAAAAGCATGCCCAACTGATCAGGATTAGAAAAATTATGGGTTTCGTAAAACGTGCTGCACTATTTTATTCAGGGAAATGAGTTTACCTGTATTCACAGAGCGCTTTTTGTAAATTTTTCTTGGCAGCTTCTGGATGGTCAACATACTCGACCTGATGATTAGCATTAGACAAGCTTGAAAAATGCAGGACTGTTATCGCAGGGCTTGTACATATTTTAGAGCTTACCTGGAAAAGGATACCATCCCAAGAAAATGGCTCAAGTGACAATTCTTGGCAACTATCTCTAAACTGTCTCTCTAGGGCAGATGATAATAATTCCTTGTCACCGTAAGGATTGACTACCACAACAGACATACGCTTCAAAGCATGACAATATAAAACATAAATAGCACGACCTGTTGAGGTGCTGCAAAACGAAGGAAACCATGATATAAGATAATAGAGAATCAAATAAATTAAGCCAAATAGCATATGCCCAGAGAATAAAAGAGACAAAAAAAAAGTTCAAAATAATATGACTACAAACGTAGACATGATGTTAACACTCGAACATTGATGAAAATTCACAAGCAAGACCATCCTAAAATGAAGCTCTACCTGTGATACAAATAAACAAGTGGAATTGAATTCTCCAAGTAGCGACACTCAGTTGTAGTTATCCTGTGAAGTTCACCAAGTTTCCATCCATCTTGGGTGTTACGGTGTTTGGCCGTGTCTTCAATTTTGCATACACATCCAATCTGACATATAGCACTAAACTCCAGAGGCATCTTAGTTTCATATATGCCCTGCCAAAGTCAAAATGAACTCAAAGAATTAATCGTTAAAACAGTAAAGTTTTTTCTTGTTTAACAGTGAAGGCATGTGAAGGGTATTCGATAGAACTCAAAGGTTGGGATTCTGATGGCATTTTATTAGATTACTTAATAATAATAGTAATAAACACACCTCAATTTCGGGGTCTGCAAGTAGAGCGGCAAGCTTTTTGCTTTCTTTTTTAAATTGATCTTCCTGAATATTGACCTGTAAAGAAATAAAGAAAAATTATAACTAACTAGAAGAAATACAAGAAGCAAGATGTGTATTGTGTAAAAGACATGCCTCCATCAAATTGTAACAAGGCTTTCCATGAGGAAGAATCTTGTTGATACACTTTCCCGTGAAGTTTCCAGCTATAGAAGCTTTGGAATTAATGTAAAACACCCTTGGGATCGTCAATGGGATCTTAAGCATCAATCCTTCCACAACAACCCAAGCAAAAAATTGCCCGCTCTGTGGACTTTGGACCAACTGTATTATCTGAGAAACTCGGAAAGACAACATTTAACATGGTTGCAAAAGATAAGCCAATTATATAAACATAATGAGGTCTCACCAAATGTCATGCATACCTGCAAATAGGAACTAGTCAAAGCTTCTTCAGGCCTCCTAAAGTATGAGCCTACACCTGCTCTTCCCTTACAGACTCTTTTATTTATCTTGTGAGCATCAATCTGATTACAAGGCTTTAGATCATCAAACCTACACAAGGAAGAGATACACAGTGTCGACAAGTTAAGAAACTTTTCATAAGAGTATATTTATTGATCTACATTTTGTTCCAAATCAAAACCAAATAAACTTCAGGAGAATAATTATCATTAACGAAAAAGTACCTTCTTTTTTTCTTATTCTTTAGAGTCATTTTCCATTTTCTTTTTTCCAGTTCAAGCCATCCTTGGTAATCTACATTCTTGTCAACGTTCTGAAATGAGATATCATGGAACTCTGGATCCCAACTCTCTTGCTGCTTACCCTCAGAGTGATTTCTATCGACTTCATATGAACGCGCAACTGGCTTTGGCCCTTTTACGGAAGGTCTGTTTTCTTTGCAAAAATCTTCAATATCCGCCAGTACATTATCTTGAGTTGTCGAATGATTTTTGTCCAAGACACCATCTTTGTTTGCTGAGCTAAACATATCAACTATTTTTCCCTGACGAAATTTTTCACAGACCTTTTTCTCGAGCCAATAAGGATGACGCACCCTAAGTACAGGATTTGCCACCTATAGAGGTCATATAAGTGGTTAGATGTTTTTTAACACTAAACAAAGACACAGATAAAAAGGAGTGAAAATAGTAAAGTCACAATGAACCTTCTGCATTGCAGCAGGAATGGTAATAACTTTTTGAATAGCTGAATGAAGACGCTGCTTGTAATACCTCCAGTCAATAATTGAACGGATTCCAGTATATGATGATATCTTGCACCATTTTTGCAGATAAAACTTTTTTTCTGTAAATTTAGAATAGTTACATCACATTTGAACGTTAAGAATGCAACAATACATACTCAAACAACGGAATGTTTACCAGGATCATCCGTTTGAAATATGGCAACAGGACAGCACGTTCACTTACAGGTGTCCCCTATAATGAAAAAGTTGGTAAGTCATAAGAGTTAAAGATACTCTGAACAGTGTGAATGAGACACTTATGCTAGAATAGCTGAGCAAGATGCTTAACGAACAGTAAAATACTGAGACGTGAGCAACATTCTTGAATAAGAGATCATGTAAATATCAGCAGCGTTCCTAACCAAGAGAACTTCCTACAGTAGATATTATTCAGTAATGCAAGCCACTGTAGTAATCATTGACTAGACGTCAACGAAGAAGGACAAAAAGTTCCATGAAATTTCTAAATTTGACAGAAAATGTACCTCTGGTTCACGAGCAACGATGTATTGGCAGCGCAGTCCTTTATCTTTGACCATTGTATCACCAAGAAAATCAGCCAGGCGTTTTGCTGTGGTCACTGCACATGACTTTTGTTGACCATAATCTGCTAACGATTTGCTCATAGTGCTTGATTCTGATATATAATCTAGCAATTCACTATCGGCAATATATTTTCCTTGACCCTGAAGGAAAACTTGTGAGCAAAATAACACGGTTGTAAAGAAGAATCTCAAAACCCAGAAACAAGATATTTGATATACCTCGAGTAGGTCAAGCCAACGATCTGCAACAGCTGCAACAGCAGAATAACACTCTTCAAGGGTTGATCCATGCAGAAATTTGTCAAATAGCTCGGCCTGTAGAAAAAGGAAAGATCCATGAAGTGTAAAGTAAAATAAAAGGAAAAGAACAAACTTAGCTGACATCCAAGTTTTTGAGACACTACACCTGTACATTTATCAAGTCAAACTCTGCTTATTTTCTTGGTAAACTACCAAATCATGAACGTCTTACTACATTACGCAGTCCATATTTTTAATAAGCTTGTTAACACAAGAATCCAATAAAAAAAGATGGAGATGTTTAAGGAAAATACATTTTTTCATATAACAGAGATTTCTAAATCCCTTTTTTTTTTTTTGAACAATGAAGCCTCAAAAAAAGCCAATGATACCTGGAAAACTTTAATGAGTTTCAGCTCTCCTCTACGCTTCATCTCAAACCCCTTGAGTTCTGCTATGGTTCCGTCATGATTGAAAACAGCATACCGCTTCTTAATTAAGATTCCCTCTTCCTTGGATGCAGGAATAATCATTGCCTGGATGTAGAGTGTTAGAGATATTATTTTTGTCAAGCATATCAAAGGGCAGCACACGTCAAAAAGTCATAGCATTTATAAGGCATACCTTGTACGGTCCATCCACTTCAAATTCAATTGAGCATTCGCTATGTGAATTATATGTCTTTCGTACAGGATCTACTAGAGTCTGTTCCAAAACCAATAATCAAAGCAAAAAGCTTTCAGAAACTCAAATTGTTTGTTATATCATTCTGCCTATTGACAAAATTGAAAACAAAAACTACTTTTAGAAAATGTATAGATCGGGATACCTGATATTGGTCATTTGAATTATTCTTCGCCACATCAACATTAAGTATTACACACGGATACGAGATGGTGAATTTCTTCATATCTCTGCAATAAACAAAAAATGATTGAAAGTTTATTTAACGTCTTCATAACCACAAGAAATGTAATTCCACCTTAAAAGATATGGAAAATACAAAACTCTTTCAAATATCTTATATAATAAAAACATCTAAATCATACAGATTGCAAAACCTTACATCGTTTTAAAAGTAAAGTTCTCAGGAAAAGATCCAGGGAGAGCACACCATATACCATCTGTATCCAGCTCAAGTGGTTTCCCAATTCGCTCAATAAGCAAACGAGCATTCTGGATGATTTTGGCTCCAGTATAAGTAACTACACCAGCCATTTCCATGGAGTACCATCTTGCGCCCCTGTAATCAGGTTTCAGGTCAACCAAAATACAAAAATGATGATGTAAATATAACCAAATTCCAGGCTCTTTGCAAGAAATCAGAGGGCTCACTTTCGCATGACATATCCATAAAAGGAATTAAGTATACACTTATGAGCTAGCTGCAAGGAATCGTAAACCACTACCATGTCCTGTTGCAGAAGTTTGATGTCAGATAGCCATCAGTCAAAATAAGTTCCAAGGATATAAGATATAACTTACATGTGCTTCCTGGATCTTGATTGAATTGCCACTTGCCTTGGCCTCTGACAACTTTCCCTTCCAGACCTTGTTAAGTGTTTTGTATTCATACCTCCTATCTCGAAAGCTATAATTACATGCATAAACACCAATAAAAAATTTGAAAAAAATAAAACAGCAATATGGAAAAAGTAGTTAGGACTTGGCTAAAGTTTCCACCATTATTATCAAAAGAGATTGCTTCATAGAAGACTAAACGTCCAAACAGAGTGTCAATCAAGAATAAGATTGGTAATAACAAAAGCCACACACCTACGCACAGTGTCCACATAGAACGGGTTTTCTCTCATGCATATCCCAGCCTCGCGAACTTCAGTGAATGGCTTGTCAAGTACTCGGCTATATGCCTGCCAAAAGCAGAATGACTTACCGTTATACATTGACACTGTACGGAAAATATTATTACGAAAGGGAGAGAGAAGAGTACCTTTTGACAGTATTTTTTCAGTCGTTCTTTTAATTTGGATTGTTGTTCCACCTTTGGCAGATCAAGAAAAGGTTTTGACGACTGCATATTTGCACCAGCATCAACAGATTCAGACTCAATCTGCTTCTTCAGATGGTAATATTCACTGTCAAACCATTTGAAAACAAAGTTAAGATCTTAAGACTAGATCCACAAGGTTTAAATCCATACTTAGCTGGAATATAATATAAGTTAAACCTTTTATTTCCCTTGAACGTCACCCCACGCCAAACCCATTCAAGTTTTCTAAGACAGGTCTTTTCCGGGCCGTTGAAATCACATGCTGTGCAAACCTCATCCGTAACTATTGATGGTGGCTGACAATTAAGAAGAAACCTACCACTTAACATAATATATCTGCGGGCTTTGTAATCTTAAAAGTAATGATTGTGATTCATTTGTATATGGCACACAATCATTTAACTGAGAATTGATGTACCTGAAGCCTGTTTGTTAAGATGATATTTGGATACATCGCCGCGACATCAAGGTGATAAATAAGAGGCTCCTCTTCACGTATAGGATCATCCCGTAACTTCTCGAGCTGCAGAGGTCAATAATGAAACCGCCAAACCATGGCGGAACTAAGACTTCGTCCGGAATCAGGTAACACAAAGGGAGATATAATTCATAAATCTAGAAGGTTCTATGGTCTGCTTTACAATATCAAAGCATGCAGATGTCTAGTTGGTGACAACTACTGTAGATGAAGGACACTTGATAAACACATTTCTTCTGGAGGCCCAAACAATAGTAGTCTCAGGACTTACTACGTTCTTAGAGTGTATAGGCAAACTCTCCCAGATTGAAATGCGCATGCATTGTCACCCATTCAAAGAGACAAGAGAAATAAGGGAACGAGCATTAAACCTCTATCCTAATTCAGAAGAGGAATTCATTACCTTTTCCCTGATTACGTCCTCTACTTCATCATAATTGGAAATTGAATCCATTTTCATTTTTCCTTCAACAGTGATAGCATATTCCAGATCCCGACCAAGGTTATCGATCAGTTGCTGGCAATCAATGTGTCCAATATCAGATAGGTGCGTAAATTAGCTATGATGCAATCGTGCGCAGAAGAAAATGGAGCATTTATGCCTCAGGCATCCATTATAGACTACAAACGTTTTACTATAAACTGCACCACCTTATATGAGATTACTATAAACTATATCAGGAAAAAAGTGGTGTTCAGCAACCAGCAAGAAAGACCAACTAGCATTATTAAGTAAAATATAAAGAAGATAATTTGCCTGGTATGCAGATGCCTCGAGCTTAAAACTGGTTGGAATGTCAGATCTGAAAACACCACTTTGGAGGCACTCTACATGGCCACCAATATATGTCTCACTTTCAAGAAGTTTACCTTGGTAGAACTTCTCAGGGTCAGCTTGATTTTTGTTGGGACATACAACATTTGCCTTGTAAGCCTGTGCTGGGAATGAAATATTTCCAATTAATAGAATGAGCCACACAGCAAGAATTTCTAAATATCTTTGTAGTAGATAGGAAGTCACCTCAACCATCAAAAGCATTTCACAAAGGGTGCCACTCCCTTTGCGTAAAACCTCATCAGGGACCATTGGAATGATAGTTGCGAGAGAAAAAACGAACGGATGGACATATGTCATGTATAGGTAGTAAGTTGCAACAGCATCAGAGACAGAGTAGGAGGCCATTGTCTGCAAGAAGATTCCCAACATGAAACAGAAATAAGATATAAGCTCCCAATTCTATGCAGCATCTTGCACAATTACAGCATGGACTAGAAAAATATCAACTGTATCATCTACATCCGCTGTTAAATGTTGTGTACGATAAGACACTGAGTTTAACAAGTTTCAACCCTTAATAAGGTAATTAGTTAAATTACTTGATCAAATATGTTACTCTAGCCCATTCCAGCGCCATCAAACAACTAGCTCTGATTCTAAAAAACTTTGTCACACAGAAATAGCATTTTTTTAATTAATCAGCAATACCTGTGGCTTTTCCATTGCAAACCGAACCATGTCCTCAGGATTCATTTCCAGTGGATCGTAACCCAGTTTTGCCTTTGTAACAGCCTGGCATTTAGTTAAGAGGCAAGCACCACTCAGAATCATAATATGAATTCCTCCACAAAAGAAAAATAATGGCGAAAAGAAAGAAATAGAATGAACCTTCAGACCCTGGCTTCCCTGAGGAAGATAGCTATCACGTTTCACCCAAGAAAAACAATCCAAATGGCACACAAACTTAGCTCGACATTCACCTTGATTATGATCACAACGGAATCCTAACTCCTGCAACCACGATGGAAGGAAAAAAAAACACATTTGCACTGTGGATGGGAACTGAGGAAAATATAGAGAGGAAAAAAGGCAAGAAACAGGACTAATGCAAGTTTCTGAAATAGAACCAAGGTTTGGTAGATGACTGCCACCTTGCCAATTCTAAGAAAACTTCAGTATTCAAACGCAAAACACATGTCAGTCAATATTCAAAAGATAAAAATTTATACTTCACGGAAGCAGACAAATAATAAGTAGAAGCAGGCATCCTGGTGAAAGATAATTCACTAGACAGTATAGGAAGTGAAGCATTACTAATCTAGTTTTAAGCAGAGGCACATTCACAAGGTCACAACAAAATATCAGTGAATAATGTCACAAAGAATTCCCAAGTAGCTCATATATTTCCTTATAGTAATGCAGACAGAATATTTTGTTAGCAATACCACAATGAAGGAAACGTGATACCTCGTTCATTTTGATCCCATGATGAGATGCTCTCCGTTCTATAAATGGCCAGTCAAAAAAGTCACCGTTGTATGTAACATAAATACCAGGTTTCAACTCTTGCATATGAGAAAACCATTTTCGGAGGAGTTCAACCTACAAATCAAAACCAAGAAAGTAACTTAATTCCAAGCACCTCAATCTTTCTGATACAAATATTTAAATCAAGAGCTAATTTACTTTACCTCGTTGTTAACATTCGTGACTTTGAAATCCCCTTCAAACTCTGGTTTGGGTGTATATTCCAGATCTTCTATGTCTTTGCCAACACACTGAAATAAGTGCAAAGTTAATGCTACAAATATAATCAAACAAGATTGAAGTGGCCCAAATATTTAAAGGAAATGATAGAGCTGAGATATCAACCAGAGATGATATATCCAATGAAAAATTGTTAATAAAAAGAAAATCAAATATCATGTTTTAAATTATATAGTAAAACGTTATGTTAGTCCACAACAATAAGTCTTACAGTCACACATCAATCAATCAAACAAGCGGAATAATTTCATATGGATCATATCTGATTTATCTTGGATTAAGAATGCAATCAAAATAATCCAAATTATGGCACATAAGGGCTATATAGCAGCTTATCTACGTTTATGATTTGGAAACGGTCATCATCCATCATGTAATATATCATCATTGATTAGATCAAATCCAATGCAATACAAATGTATGCAGCAGTTACCTCTCTGTTAGTAATTAGAAAACCTTGCCCATCAACCATGTAGGATATCATCATAATTTGATCATATTCAGCATCCGGGAACTTCAATGGAAGCTTTACTGTCTCTATATCGAATGCACAAACGCGAACTTCTGCGCGTTGGAGAAGATCCGTCCTCTTCTCTAGTATGACATCAGTGCTGGAAATACTGACATTGTACCATTGCCCACTACGCACATCTGGACAGCGAGAACACATGATGTTTTGACAACCTTGAGGGCTAAACTAGGATTAAAAGTTTGACTAAACAGGTTACCATTATCAATTGCAAATCGGACATGATAAGGAACATCGTACTCACGGAGGTCCACCACAGAGTCTAAGCAGTCTTGAGGACGTTGTTCTCTGCATTCCAAGAATTAAAGAGAATAAAGAAAAAATGATCAGGGTATCTGAAACACCTGAGAAGAAACTTGGAAATTATAACCAAGGAACAACAGAGTTTCAAGGGATATAATTTGTAAGAACTCTGAAAATTTATAAGAAGAAAAATACATTGCCTTACCGTTTTCCAGCCAATATGGATTCGTATGCTTCAAGTGCATTAAATTTTGCGAGGTTTCGTTCGACAATATGCAACAGATCCCTCTTGACTTCCACCAATTGTTGCACAGTGTCAAATGATACTTTGAGATATTTTTTTTGCAGGCCAGAAAGATGATTTTTCTGCTCATGAACATAAGAAATCAAGAAACTCAAACTTGGTATGGTAGGTCAACAAAAAAAGTGAGCAAAAGTGACAACTAAATAAGAGGTACTGAAAACGTTCATATATTGCATAATGTTGCGACTAAAGAAGAAGCATTAAATACTTCAACATTTACTAGCAAACGTTTTTCTGGCAGGCTAGACACATGGAAGCAAGATCAGTTTTGGACTTATTACTAGAGCTGCTCAGTTTGAAGTTGCAAGAAGAGAAAAATAACTAAAAGTTGTAGCAAATGTAATTGATATGAGTCCTCTGTATCAACAGGTAGGTTAACTAAAGTCGCAGAATGAGGAAGTGACCACTTGCAACTAGTAAAAAGGAGTTAAGATTTACTGACTTACAAGATCAAGATCTTCTTTGTGAACAATCTGAATATCAGCAACTTGTGTTTCATATCGGCGTCTCAAGTAGGCTTCAACTTCCAATTCCATATTGTCCTGTAATTTGGGCATAGCAGTTTAGTTGACATATATGATGAAAACAGTCTTTGAGTACAGAGAGAAACCATACATACTTTGGTGGCGGCATACAAGTAAGGGCGGAACTTGTACTTAGTCTTAAAAGAAGAGCCGTCCTGAAAAGAAAACAAAAGGGAGTTGTTGAGCAACTGACTGATACGAAGAAGCTAACATAGTAGTAATGAGAAACATAGCTGGTCACCTGAGTGACAAAGAAAAGGTCCACACAACTAAATGTTTTCCCAGTATCGGCATCTTCCCAAGATGACTGCCAACAACGTAGTAGAGTAACCAATCAGTGAGAAGTTTTCTGTATTCAGAGAATTAACAATGTCTCTAACTCCTAAGACACTTACTGATGCAAATGTGAGTAGCCACCCGAGGCGCGTTTCCCCTTGGGAGAAAAGCCCAAATCCAAGTTTAGTTTCGAGTTCATCTGCGGCAGTGTTCACTGAAACTTTCTGCAACCTCCTTCGTTTATCTCCGTTCATATTTTGGGTTGATTGCTTAGGGTTTCGAAACAAAGGGATTCGTGATTGACCTTGCTACGTTGAGATTGGTGAAGAGATGGAATCGGATCTAAGAAGAGAAGAGAGAATCATCTACAACCTGAGAGCACCTCCGAGGTTTTAGAGCAAAAAAAAAACCATAATTGTGTAGAGAGTCGATTTTGGGAGTTAAAGAGAGGCGCTGACGTGGCATGTCGTGATTGGCTGCATAATTTTAACCAAAGAAAAAAAAAAGTGTGTGTTTTCATTTCTCTCTCTCTTTAGCGGCCAGAGCCGATGGCGATTCGATCATTGGTGGTGGTGTTGGGATTATTGGCCTTTGGTTACTTGTCACTGGAACGAGGTATTGTTTATGAACAAAGGTATGTTCTTTCATTGAATCTGTCGGATATATGATGATGTAATAGTGTTGTTTATGGAGATTTTGTCAAATTCGATCTGGGTTTTCTTAGTTTGATTGTGATTTTTTGATTGATTGTGGTGTTGTGAGTTTCTTTATCTTGAATTTTGATCCGAGGAAAAAGTTTGAGTTTTTGGGTTCACCTGATAAATAGATTTGAATCATGCTCAAGCAAAGTTAGTTTTTTTTTTATAAACACGATTTAGATGTTATGTTTAAGATTTGTATTGATTCTAATGGATTGATGTTTCTTTCTCTGATAATTGAGGTGTTTAAAGTTGGGTCCTTTGTTAAGTTATGTAGTGATTGGTGTTAAATTGTGATTTTGATTGGTGTATAATTCATGTATTTCATTGTAGTTCAAAGAGTTAGCTCAAGCTTATGAAGTTCTTAGTGACCCGGAGAAGCGTGAGATTTATGACTAGTATGGAGAGGATGCACTCAAGGAAGGAATTTGTGGTGGAGGAGGTGGACATGATCCCATTTGATATTTTCTCATCCTTTTTTGGTGGAAGCCCGTTCGGTGTAGCTATGTTTACAGCTATATGTGTCTCAGGTTCATAATAATATGAATTAGCTGAAGCTTGAACTTTACTTTGCTGGCCTAAGCCCGTGGTTTTGTGAGCAACATGCCACACTTTGAACCTTATACATGAATCATGTATTGGAACTTGTAAATAAGCTGATGTTTTGATATTTTCTATATTCATGAATGGAGTAGTTAACCTAATCTAAGATGATTTCATTGGAAAACCATGTATTGTAACCAAACAAATATATATATATATATATATATATCTAATTATACTAAATCAACAGTCACTTTTTTAATAACTGCAACCCTCTTTATCTGCCATCTGGCTTAAGTCTCAATTCTTGCTCTTTCAATTTATTATCCCATAAAACAAAAAAAATCGGACAGAGAAAAAAAATCGACTCAACTGTTTTTACCCACGATCACAAGATTAGCCATTTCCCCTCTCCTCTTCAACTATGAAACAACATTATTTTTATGATTGCCGTTTCCTGCAACTTCAATCGAATAAAAAAAAATTGAAGTTTCCCTACTCATCTAATTTTCTATTTCAAAATTTCTTCTTAGTTTTCAAAATTATTTATTTTACATTTGGATTTTCATGTTAATTTCTCTACTTTTATTGTCTTCTACCCATGACTGCATCTCCTTCTTCCCACGATTTCTCCTTCGTACAACTATGAAATCCAGTTTTGCTATTCACATCTATATGTGATTTGTGTCTTTTGCAAATGTCTTTCGTTTGTAATTAAAACGAGCCATGGACATAGCCTACAACATATTCAACTGTAAGTTTAGAGATAACAATCAAGTTCTTAATATTAAATTCTGTACTGATTGCTATTTGTCATTGGCCCTCTCTCTTCGCTACATGTGTAACAACTAAAAGGATCCCACCTTCAAGAATTTGTTCGGTGCTTCCTCTAATTAACAACATGAGAAAGAGAATCGATGTAAGTTTTTTTATTTTATTTTACTTTAACATAATATATATATATATATTATCTATTACAGTATTTTTTTGATCTGTTTGACAAATAAATTTTAGCATGAGCACATTGTTAAGATAAAATTAATTAGCTTTTTGCCCAAAAATTAATTAACTTTAAATTTTGCCTGTGCAAGGCACAGGCCTTAATGCTAGTATATATATATATATTCGTTGTTTTACAAAATTTGAATTTTTCCTTAAGAACCCCATTAGTGGTTTTAACCATTGGAGGACACAAAATTTAAGAGTTCCTATGCAAGTTTTTTAGTTTGAGAAAAGCTAAATTTATACTTTAGAAATGCTGAGAACCCTTCATGGGGTTGTAACCATTGGAGATGCTCTGAAATTCTTAATGACGACGAGACAAGGAAATGAAGATGAAGATGAAGATGCAGAACATGTGTTTTTGATGTGGTGATTTGAATTTTTTTGCAATATGGCTTCAGCATCGTGTGTTGTGTCTTTTCACTCAAAGGCTTTATGTTGTTGGGTTTGGTTAAAAATGAGACCTCACTTTTTTGATGAGGGCTTTTCTGTTGTTGGGTTTGGTTAAAATGAGGTCTCACTATTTCTTTTTTTTTTTGATGAAATGTGAAATTAATTAATAATAAAAAGGTTATTTACAAGGAATGAACAATGAGACTAAATATAGGATGAAAACATTTAGGATCCAAAACTGAACACCAAACCGCTAACGGTTTTGTCTTGAGCCAAACCACCTTTGAATCAAACCACGAAGCTTCTTGTTCTCACTATTTAAATTAGAAAAAATCTAAAAGAAAACTTATCTATTTTTTATTTAGACGTTTAATATTTTAATATTTTTTATTAAAAAATACATATGCTTACTAAAGCTTACGATTTAATATTTAAAAACTATATATATATATATATAGTTATTTTCATATTTACGATCTCATAACAATTTTTTTTTCAATTTCACCAGTTCTGTTAATTACTCCCTCTGTTTCACAAAGAGTGTCATTCTACCATTTTTCACACAAATTAAAAAAAGTAAACAAATTTCATTTTTACCCCTTATTAATACACTAAATAATACTCTCTCTCTAATTAATAAGCTAAAATAGTGAGGTTAAAAAGAGAATTAGTCATTAAAACTGCATTGAAAACACAAAACGACACTCTTTGTGAAACGAGATTAAAACCTTAAAACGACACTCTTTGTGAAACGGATGGAGTATTATTTTATAAATGAAGTAGCATTAAATTTTAATTTTATTTCTCATGCATTTCGTCGAACACTTGGAATGCATCTTTTGTTCTTCCATTTTTGCAGTGTTCTAAAAAGCGGTTTAAAACTCTATTTAAATCACAAACCAATAACTCCACATTATTTCTCGAAGGTTTCTCATGTTCCCCCGTGGCATAGCCATCACTTGTATTAAGTTACTAATGGTTAAAGTAATAAAGTTTCATGTTTGACGGAAAAAAAAAATCACAAACCAATAACATCCCCTAAATTTTCAAAGAGAAAGAGACGAAGGATTGATATCGATTCTTGTATTGAAATCGAGAAGATTTAAGAGAAAGATCAAACTTATAATGGAGGAACTTTAATTAAATTTGCTAATAGAATGAGACTTTTTGAGCTTTCTCCGCCATAGTTTATATGATTTGAACACGAAATATTGAGATGTCGAAGAAAAAATACCATAAAATAATAATAATAATAATAAACAACATAAAATTAAAATTAACGCCACCTCATCAAAAATAATAATTAATTAAATTGATAAGGGTAAAATTAGAAACAAAAAATTGTTATGAGATTGTGAATATGAAAAATAACATATTAATTAAATTGATAGGGCTCCGACTAGGCGCTAGGCGCTCCAGTGAAGCCTAGATGACAACCTTAACCGCTTAAAATAACATAAAATTTGTTTTAATGTATTTTTGCAATTTTCAACTACATAGATTTAAATTTATAAGTTTTATGGTTTACCTCTACATATATGGTTATAAACGTTCATATGTTGTTTGATATGAATGAAAGGAATGTTTTTGTCTAACTTTGTTTATGATTTAATATTTTTATTTTTCTAATATACTAGATTTTAACCAAAAGTAAAATAAAATTTTAAGTTGAATTTGTTTTATTAATATTGTTTGTTTAGTTTAGTCTTTAAGATTGTATAATTGTATTTTGATTGTTAATTATATGATTTTATCTGTAATCGTTTGATATTAATATCGACACAAATTCATCTCAGCATATAACCCCGTCTCGTGAAATTAAATATTATTTTCTTATTTTTATTTTTAATAATCTTTTAATCCACTACGGGGTGGTCCACTACGGATCGCAGGTTTATGCGGCTTTGAGAAAATTCCCCTAAAAATCTAATTTTTATATCATTCGTTAATCTTAGTTTCCTTTTTTCCAGATGAAAACCGAGATTTTTAGAAAGATTGTGTAGAGATTTTTGGCACATTGTTGAGAACCCAATTTGATTTCAAAATATTTACTTAAATAGATAAGGAAGGATTTTGTCGAGGTTTTTGCTAAACATATGAAAAAAGAATTTCATTTAAAAATCTTTACTTAAGTTAAACAAATCTTAAGCATTTAAGACAATGGTATTTGATCGTAAATAAGTGTAAACTTCAGGATTTATTTCAAAAATGTACCTGCAAAATGTACATATAGATAGGTTTATATGATTTTTTATCTATAATATCATATATATAATGATTTATGTTGTAAACGCATAAACCGCATAAAATAGCCTAGGTTCCGATTAAGCGTTTGAGGCTCTAGGCCCTAGGTCACCGCCCGCTTAGCGCCTAGTGCTTTCTTGAACATTGCATTTTCGCAAAGTTGATTCATCACAAAGTTACAAATATAGAAATTTGGGAAAACACCATCTTCTTGCATCTACTCATACATCTCAAACCCTTGTTTCTTAATCTCGTTATGAATCAAAACCGTGTAAATACGCTTATTAGCAACTAATCCAAGTTCTCAATTTCACTAGTTTCACAACAACCTTTAATCACAATCCCAAAACTGTACACATCCAAAAGAATTTTTCTTTTGCTCCGTTAAGGAAACACCACCATCTATGGAAGAAGATCAACCAACAACAAAAAGAACAAAACACTTATCGACCATTTCGATGAAGTATGAGATCGATGAGTCTAGTGATTAAGATTGAAAATAAGCGTTGATGATTATCTCTTAGAGTCGGAACTTGGGT